GGGCCAGGGGATTTGGGGGTAAAGAGTCTTGGTGAAGGATTGCTAGTGCATGAGAGGAGATCGGTCAGAGCCTGCCTCTGCCCTGTGTCTAGACGCGGAAGATCGCGGAGTGGCTGTCGCTGGAGATGACCGAGGACGGACACCAGGTAGCCATGCTGACGGCCGAGCTGACAGTTGAGCAGCGGGCCAACGTGATCCAGAGGTTTCGCGATGGGAAGGAAAAGGTCCTCATCACCACCAACGTCTGCGCTAGAGGTACTGCCTTTCCCCCGCGGCAGGTACCAACACGCTCGCGGGGGCTGCGGGGTGGAAATCCCCCCGCTTTGCCCATCAATTTTGCCCCATTTTGCACTATCAATTTGCAGGGAATGTGGGCACGAGATGCTGTTTCCTTTCTTAAAGTTGCCTTCATATCTCAATGCAGTGTGTGCCGCAGAGCCGAGGGGGATTGCTTTAATTCAGGCAATGAATCAGCCCCACTTTCCAGGGCAGGTGACCCCTTTCCCAGCTGCCAGATGCCAGCAGCGAGTGGCCTCCCTCTCTTTCAGGGATTGACGTGAAACAAGTCACCATAGTGGTGAACTTCAACCTCCCCGCCAACCTGAAGAAACAGCCCGATTTCGAGACCTACCTGCACCGCATCGGGCGAACGGGCCGCTTTGGGAAAAAGGGCATAGCCTTCAACATGGTCGAAAGCCGCAACTTGTACCTCTTGCGCATGATAGAGGAGCATTTCCGTGAGTATCCGGGTACCCATGGGACGCACGAACGGGAGGAAGCAGAGTGCCGGTATTAGGAAGTGCCGGAGCGAGTGCAAATAAATTGTCATTCATAAACATCACGAATCGCAAGTGGATTTCCATGGGATTTGCAAATAAGGCATTGACTGGTGACTTTCCACATCACAGCTCCTGGTACCTGTCCGGCCTGAGATTTTCAGGGAAAAAGGAGGCTATTGCAACCCTTCAGGGCACGCAGAACCGCATCCTTCCCTTGGCTTTGTCCTCAGAGCTGCTGAACTGTTTTGGCAGCATTTCCTTTAATTTAGAAAACAAACGAGCCCGAAGGCAGACACCTGGCAGACAAAACAGGAGCCAGTGTTTGGCAAAGATTTTTTTTGAGCAGCAACAGAAGTGTCAGTCGACTGCGATGAGCAGCCTGAATAACGACGAGCTGTTCACTGAGGTTACAACGCATGCGATCGCACAGGGACGCACCTTCCGTCAGTGATCTCGGGGGACCGATGCGTTTCCTTGCTGCCTCTTGGGTTCCCATAGCCCGTTTCGTAGGAAGGAAAAGTTGTTCAGCCTCTCTCTGCCGAGCTGAGAGGTGTTAAGCATTCGGGAAGGATGTGTCCGACCACAGCCATGGATAGAATTAGCAAAAGGAGCCCAGTGCGTGTTTTCCAAGGGACGAAGAGCCAAGTGGATTAACTCCAATAATCTGACTTGTCTTTTTTACGGCTTTAAAGCTGACCGTAATGTTGAGGTTCAGGGGACAGGGCTGTCTTATAGGGATAAAGTGTCTTCTAAACATTCCCTGCTTTGCATCACTTCCCGGTGAGCGATGGCGATGGGCCCAGTGGGTCCAAGCCCGTCTAGAAACCTAACGCCGCCGGCTGCTTTTTGCTCGAGGCCCTCGCCGCGCATCGGCCTTATCTTGGCAGCTGCCTTAATCCGGTTTACACTGTGCTTTCTCAAAGTTTATTTGACTATCGCTTGACGTCCACAGAGTGGAAAGCCTCCGCTGCGTGCTTCGGCGAGGTTTCCGGCCCCAAACAGGGTTAGCGCGTGGCGCGAGCCAGGCGGCAATATAACGCAGACAGATGCTCGGCCAGCCGGGCTCTGCGTTACCGGTAACCCTGCACGTCCTATCTTGAAAAGGCGCGAGCGTTAAAAAGGCCGATCGCTGTTGATGTGATGGCGTGTGGGTTACGGGCAAGAGCCTGAGTTGGTTTTTAGCCTCCGGCCTATGGAGGCACGGCAAATAGCTCAGGCTCTGCTGCGTTCCTAGTTTTCTGTCCTCTCTCGAGTGAAAACGGAGGGCAGAGCCTGCGCATCGGTCCCGGCTTTGCCCTGAAGTGACCGCGTCCCTCCGTCGCCGGCTCACGAGTTGGCTGATGCCGGGCTGGGCTCCGTTTTACCCTTGCTGTATCAGGCACTACAGATTCTTTCTTTTCACAGAGACCGAGATCAAGAGGCTGGACCCGGATGACATGGACGAGCTCGAGAAGATTGACGAGTGAAGAGCGGGCCTTCGCTTCTCTGCGGTCAGTTTGGGGTTTAAAAGAAGAAAAAATTAAGGTGACGTTTTCCAGTTTCCTTCCTGAAGATGCCCATTTTTGTTGTGCTGTTTTAGAAGGCGGAGGGGAAAACCCCTCAGGCCCAAAAACTCTTGTGGTTGTTTTCTGTGTTTTACCTCGGAGGCTCTAAGAGCCGCTACTTTGCCTGGCTTGATGAAGCGCTTGAGAACACGCAGGGACTTGAAATGGGGTGAGTCGCCTCAAAACCGGATCTAGGCGCATGCAGAGTGGACAAAAACTAGTAACCTGCCCAATAAATCTGCCGCTAGTCAGCAAGTAGCAACAGCGGCTCGTGCAGCATCGGTGGCAGCAGTGTTTCTGGCACAGGAGTCACCGAGAAAACTTCCAACAACGCCCGAAAACCAGGAGAAGGGAGCGAGGTATACAAATAATCCGATCCCGCTAGATGGCAGCATGAATTCGTAACGGAGCCGCCAGCCGGAGCTGCGATCCCAAATCCTCTCTGGGACCCGAAACGCAAACTCCACGCGGCGTTTCAGACCGTGTCGGTGGGTGATGTTAGTCCTCCGGGGGGAGGGGGGTCATACACCCCCCAGCCCGGCTCTCGCAGCCCCGACCCGGGGATTTATTTGCAGCCGCTGGGTTTGGCAAGTTGCCTTTGCTGGCCTTGCGGACGCTTTTTTTACCCTCCTCCGAGCCATGCCAACACGGAGAGGTGCCCCTGTCCCGCGAGACGCTAATGTTGGCCCCGGCCCGCTCGATGCGCTCAGTCCCTTTGCTATCACCAAGCCAAAATAATCCGTAATAAAACCGAATTATAAATAATTACCAGGGAGTTGTTGCTTGTCCTGTGCCAGAGTCCCTTAAAATTTATCGCTTCTTTTCCTTGCAGGCAGAAGTATTTTTATTAGGGCAAAGCGTTGACAATTCTGTCATTTGCCGGATCTGCCAACACCCCC